TTTTTTTTTAATTTAATGCAACCACATGGTAAATCAGATTTCACACGATAATCCATATTTCTACCTCTCTTTTTAAAAAAAGAAAAAAAAAAAAGAAAAGAAAAAAGGAAACAAAATCGTCAAGGATATTAGTCAATCCCAAGTCCCAACACAATTGTCATGTAATTATCACTTCTCTCATTCCCACACAAGAACTTTGATTCCAGTAGCCGTGGAAGGATAGCTCCCTGACTTCTTCCTATTTTTCTCTCTAAATTTGATGAATATGGCGCTTTCTCGTTCTCTGATTACTCCAGACCATTCTCTGTCTCCATTTCTCAAACCCACAAGAGAAAGCCTTTCCTGTAAAAAACGGGTATACCCTTCTTCCCATTTCTGGTTTCATTTCTCTGTTCATCTCCTTATTTTTTAGTAAAGAAAGATGTTTCCCATTTCTTTTGCTTCCTTTCTAGTTTGGTTTTTCTTGTTTCCCTTTTCTCTTGTTTTGAGTGATATGGTTGTTTTCCCTGATCATGTCAATGGTGTAATGGGGGTTTGTGTTTCAGTTCTGTTTGAGAGTCTCTATTAATAACTCAGATGATGAGGAAGGAAGAAAGATGATGATAAGGAAAGAAAATGATGGCTGGAAGATTGATTTCTCAGGAGAGAAGCCAGCCACGCCATTGCTGGACACAGTCAATTACCCTGTTCATATGAAAAATCTATCCACACAGGTAAAAAAAAAATGAAAGACTATGATGGCATTTACCTCTGTTTTGCAGCTTTCGACGATCCCTGTTCTTATTGTTTCTCTGAGGTTCTCTGTCATTTCTTGATGCGTTCAGGACCTTGAACAACTAGCAGCAGAGCTAAGAGCAGATATTGTGCATACTGTAGCAGAGACAGGAGGCCACCTTAGTGCAAGCTTAGGAGTGGTGGAGCTGACAATAGCTTTGCACCATGTGTTCAATACACCAGAAGACAAAATTATATGGGACGTTGGGCATCAGGTGAGGCTGGAGATGCTTTTCTGTATTTTGAGATGGTGTTTTGTGTAACATGGCTAAATTGCAGGCATACCCACATAAAATTCTGACTGGAAGAAGGTCGAGAATGCATACCATGAGGAAAACTTCAGGGCTTGCTGGGTTTCCTAAAAGGGATGAGAGTGCTCATGATGCTTTTGGTGTAGGACATAGTTCCACAAGCATATCTGCTGGACTTGGTATTTGGTTCTCACCATAGATTTCCATTGAATTAGCTAGTATAAAATGTAAAATCTAAAGACATTTACATGGATTAAAATGAATATAACAATCACTCTATTGAAAAAACAATGTAGGAATGGCAGTAGCTAGAGATCTTCTAGGGAAAAACAATAACGTTATCTCAGTGATTGGGGATGGAGCAATGACAGCAGGACAAGCATACGAGGCAATGAACAATGCAGGGTTCCTTGATGCTAACCTGATTGTTGTGTTGAATGACAATAAACAAGTTTCTTTACCGACTGCAACTCTTGATGGCCCTGCAACTCCAGTTGGAGCTCTCAGTAGTACCCTAACCAAATTACAAGCAAGCACCAACTTCCGCAAACTTCGTGAAGCAGCAAAAGTACTCTCCTAGGCTTTATATTTCTTAGAGCTCTGTATTTATCTCCGATTACAGCCTATTCATTATTGAGAAACATCTCACTTGGATTCATTGTGTTGAAGAGGATCACAAAGCAAATTGGTGGAAAGACACATGAAGTTGCAGCGAGGTTAGATGAGTATGCAAGAGGAATGATTAGTGCTTCTGGCTCCACCCTCTTTGAAGAGCTAGGTTTATATTATATTGGTCCAGTTGATGGACACAACATTGAGGATTTAGTGACCATCTTCCAGAAAGTGAAAGCCATGCCTGCACCAGGGCCAGTCCTAATCCATGTTGTGACAGAGAAAGGAAAGGGCTATCCCCCAGCCGAGGCAGCAGCTGATAAAATGCATGGTGAGATGGCAACTTCCTAACCCATGGTACCGTTAAATATATTCCTAAAAGGATACTTAATCTATTTTCTTCTCAGGAGTTGTCAAGTTTGATCCAACGACAGGCCAGCAACATAAACCCAAATCCTTGACACTCCCATATACACAATACTTTGCTGAATCACTCATAAAAGAAGCTGAGGCTGATGATAAGATTGTAGCCATCCATGCGGCAATGGGTGGTGGCACTGGTCTCAATTATTTCCAAAAGAAGTTTCCAGATCGCTGCTTTGATGTGGGGATTGCTGAGCAGCACGCTGTTACTTTTGCAGCTGGTTTAGCCACTGAAGGGCTCAAGCCATTTTGTGCTATATACTCAACATTTCTGCAAAGAGGATATGATCAGGTAAGCCAGCAACAGTAAATAAATTAGGTGGTCTATGATAGGAGTTTTGTGATAATTTAAAAAAAAAAAAAAAATTTTGTCACCTTTCCCCTATTCTATGATTTATTACTTTTAAGGGACACTTACATGCTAAAAGTTCAAACTGGACATGAAAGGTGATACATGATGTGGATCTGCAAAAGTTACCTGTCCGCTTTGCACTAGATCGAGCAGGTTTAGTTGGTGCAGATGGACCGACCCATTGTGGAGCATTTGATATCACATACATGGCTTGCTTGCCCAACATGGTGGTTATGGCCCCATCTGATGAAGCTGAGCTTATGCATATGGTTGCAACAGCAGCAGCTATCAATGACAGGCCAAGCTGCTTCAGGTTTCCTAGGGGAAATGGCATCGGAGCAGCTCTTCCACCCTACAGCAAAGGAATTCCTCTTGAGGTTAGCCTTATCAATGTTTGGATGTTAAAACAGAAGACAACCTGAATAGATAAACTCAATAAATGCTTATTCCCTGATGATTGACTAGATTGGGAAGGGAAAAATACTCACAGAAGGCAACAAAGTTGCTATTTTAGGATATGGTTCTATAGTTCAAGAATGTCTGGAAGCAGCACGCATGCTCAGAACACTTGACATTTATTTGACAGTAGCTGATGCAAGATTCTGCAAGCCTCTAGATACAGAACTCATCAGGCAACTGGCATGTGAGCACGAGATTCTAATTACTGCAGAAGAGGGTTCTATTGGAGGTTTTGGTTCTCATGTATCACATTTCCTAAGCTTGGCAGGGATTCTGGATGGGCCTCTAAAGGTAGTTTTTTTTCTTCTCTTTTTTTGGCTTCTGTCCTCAAAAAAATTTCTTGTTCTCTTTTCCATTTTTGTTCGGTTTCTAATTCATTTTGAGCTTCCATATACATTCAGTTGAGGGGAATGATGCTTCCTGATAGATACATTGATCACGGATCACCCAGAGATCAGATGGAAGAAGCAGGGCTCTCATCAAGGCATATCTCAGCAACAGTCCTGTCACTACTGGGAAGGCCAGAAGAAGCCCTGCATTTCAAGTAAGAACACATAAGGATTAAGGAACAAGAATCCCTTTTCTGGAGTCACAACATCATTCATGATATCAGGTCTGAAGAGCTTCATGCATCAGAAGAAAATTTTCAAATCCAACTTAAGAGATTTATATGTGGGTAATTCATAAACAAAGACCTAGACTCCTCTAAATTATTATCTTGATATGGTTACAGAGCATCAACAATTTTTAGTATCCCAAATGAATTACTCAGACCACTGTTGATTTTATGCATAATCCCTAGTTGTAATGTAATGAACAACACATAAAAGACTGAGTTTCAGGCAGATAAAGATCTGAGATTCTTTTTCCATGAACAATCTTGTGTTATTTTCTTCAGTTTTCATGCACCGCTCTAATGTAGACATAAATAAATTTGACTGATGGAACATATCTAACTGCACTAATCCGGTCAAAATATTTCAAATCTTAGGTACCTTTTCAATCTGGGCCCTTGCCTCTGTTAATACTAATAAGTTCATCCACGTTGATCAATCAGCATGCAACAGCTAGTTACACAGGTGTTGATCGATGTGAAATATAAATCACCAATAATCTCTGCAGGAACAGAATCCATCTTTAAAATGATGAAATCTCTTTGCGTCTCTAGCACTAATTTCTCGTTGAACAACCTTGGACACAAATTTTATCCAAGTGTGGCAGTCCCCACAAACTCTGAGGTTCTTCATAATCCTGATAGGAGTTGTCTTGTTACTAGTCTTCCATAAAGCAAAAGCTAAGGCAAGTTTCTCACTGTGACAATATAAAGACTTCTCTTTGTTGTCCCCATCTAAGTCTTGCAACACAAATCTTGTGTCAGGAACATAACCCAGAATCTTGACCTTCTCAGTCAATTCGTCAAGTTTTTCAAAAATCTCTCTTGAGCATGGGTGGGACCAATCCCCAGCCATGAAAGTATGCACCTCTTTATCTACATCCACCCAACTCATTGCAGGATTCTTTTTCACTTTCATCTCCTTCATGGTGCTTTTAATCTCAATAACTTGGTTCCAGTTACCTTTTGAAGCATAAAGATTTGACAGCAGAACATGAGTTCCTCCATCCTCAGGAGCAAGCTCTAGCACTCTGTTCTTAATCCTCTCTACCATATCAACCTTTCCATGAATCCTACATGCACTGAGAAGTGTTCTCCACAGAACAACATCTGGATTTGTGACCTGCTTCATTAACATTTCTGCCTCTTCAAGCCTCCCAGATCGTCCTAGTAAATCAACCATGCAAGCATAGTGATCTTTGGAAAGTTCAATGTTGTAATCATTTTTCATGGAGGCAAAGATTTGGCAGCCTTCTTCAACCAACCCTGCATTGTTGCATGCCAAGAGAACACTCACGAATGTTACATCATTTGGCTGAAGACTCATATCTTTCATCATGTGGAACAAGTCAAGCGCTTCAGGCCCAACACTATTCTGGGCGTAACTATATATCATTGAGTTCATAGAAACTACATCGACTTCCATTAAAGAATCAAAAACCAACCTTGCCGGCTGTGTACTTCCACATTTTCCATACAAGTCAATAAGTGCTGCCCCAGCATATTTATCTCTATCCAATCCAAATTTTTTGACTATGGCATGGATTTGTCTTCCTTCCTCTAGCATTGCAAGGCTTGAACATGCTCGGAGGACACTTGATAATGTATAAGAATTCAGATTTACTGAATTGCGAATCATTTTTCTAAACTTTGTCAGGGCCATCTCTTCTCTACCATTTTGCACAAGGCCTGCTATTAGAGATGTCCAAGTCACTTGATTTGGGTGAGCCAACTGTTTAAAAACTTTCATCGACTCATCAATCAAGCCACATTTAGAATACATAGTAAGCACAGAAGTTTGGGAAGCAACAGCAGATTCAAACCCCATTTTGACAATGAGGCCATGAATCAACTTACCATCACCTAAATCCCCTAAATTCCCACAAGCAATCAATACACTTGCAAAAGTATACTCATTAGCGTTAACTCCCTCATTGATCATACACCTAAATACCTCTAGAGCTTCAGCATCTTCGCCCTGTTGGGAGTAACCAACAATCAATGCCGTGAACAAGACCACATCTTTCTCCATGGCTCCATCCAACACCAGCCTGGCATCCCTCATTTTACCAAATTTCGCATACATATCAACAAGAGCACTAGAAACAAACGCATTGGAAGCATTCACACCAAGAACAACGCACAAGCTGTGAGCTCTCCGCCCATCCCGTTCAATATCTAGTTCAGAAAACGCCTTGAAAACACTTGAAAACGTGTATTCATCAGGAAAAACCCCTTCCAAAACCATCCTCCTGAAAATCCCAATTGCATCTTTACTCCTTTTATTGCCAATATAAGAAGCAATCATAGAATTCCAGGTGACAATATGTCTTTCGGGCATTTCATCGAACAGCTTACGAGCGTCAAGAATGCTACCACACTTGAGATACCCATCAACGAGCTTACTTCCAAAATTTAAAATGGGGAAACCAGAAGTGATCATGTGGGTTTGAATTGCTTTGACGTTCGTTACGGATTTTATCTGCGTGCATTGCCGAAGAAGGGAAGAGTAGAAATGCGAGGCCTGCGAGAGAGTGATAGTGTTGGAGACTCTTTGAGCGCCGTAGGCACTAGAGTGAAGGTAGGTAACTTGTTTCGGCTCCGTGATGAAGTTCAAAAGTCTGGCGGCGCCGGCCGACCGAGTCCCTTGCATCATTTTTCCGGTCCGGCTGGTGTACATGAAACGTCCTGCATGTTATTATTTAACATATTTGTGATGGCTGCGAATTGCGGCGATGGACTTCGAATAGGAGATCCAAGCCCAAGGTAGTACCGGAACTTCAGGCCAGTCCATGGAAATAGCAGAACTACATGACCACTAGCTCAGCCCATGGTGGAAGAAATTCTTGCTGTCGACCCAGACTTGGAAATTGTGTCCTACTGTCATCCATGTTTGACCCAAGAAAATTTCCATGAAGGCCAGGAGGCCCAGGACCTCTATTACATATACCAATCAAAAACCATACGATTTTATTGTATTTTTTTTAATTTCTGTTTTTTTTTTTCTAATGTTAAAGATAGAACTCGAACCCTACACCTGTTGAACATAACATAAAATGTCAAGAAGAGGTGGTCACTAGACCACGAGGACTTTCTCTTTTAATTTCTGTTCTAAATCAGAAAACCTCGGTGTTTCTAATTATAGTAAGTACAGAATTCAGTAGCTTCATTTGGTGGTGATCTTGATTCAACTCTAACTCAAGAACATGACTATTATGACTATTAACCATCACGAAAATTAACCAAAATTTTCTTTGAATGATATGGGTATCTAGCCATTTAGCCAATTATCATACAGATAGTCGCAAACCGCCCCGTCAAGAGTCGCCAGGCAAACCAGCATAACCAGAACATTACTCCTAGAATACAATACCAAACCTGTAAACCAAGTAAAGGAATCCTCTTTCGAGATTTCCAGAACTACACGTCTTTCGCAATTATGATGATAAACATAAAAGTTATAACCATAAAACTAAAAGAGCTACAATACACATAAACAATGAGAGTCTAGAGCAGGTCCTATCATGTGTGGTAATTAAAAAATGGAGCATAAGAAACCACAAACAAAGCATCTTTTCATGCTGTGAAATAAAAGCAGGGTAATGGCATTTACAATTAAAAAGAGTAATGATACTAGAAAAGCCCTTGTATCTCTATGATTTTATCTCACTGAAAAGCTGTTTCCTGAAAATAAAATCACCAATTTTGATATCCACAGAGAACACCTAGATTTGGCTGTTTTTTCTGAGTTGAACCTATGTCGAAGTATGAAAGAAGCAGGATGAGTAGTTCCTCCGAGAAAGCAAGGTTAATTTAAGTAAGTCATAAAATTTTGCCGTCTCCTGATTAGTCCATGACTATAAGAGGTGATGATGATTACTCATTACTGGTAGGCAAGGATGAAGGCTTGAAGCAAACTTTGTGCTGCCTGGGTTTGTTCTGGTGTCCCAGATATAACAACTGTTCCCTCCCATTCACCAGGACAAGGATCATACACTTCAACGTTTGCACCTGAAATCTGTTTTTTGACTAGCAAACATAAATTGATGTCCAAAAGAAAACAGATAATTCAGAGAAAACATAGAACAATTCCCTATTGAGAGTTATTTGCCTTTCTTGTTAGTAACATGGTGTGACTAAAACAAATCAATTTTTAAGTCCATAAATACAAAAGGTGACGGCACCGTGTGCTTTGATGCGAGTGTTTCTGGATAGAAAATGATAATTACCTGTCTAAGATGTGCCAGATTGCAGCCATCTTCTCCATAAACAGAACCAAAAACATCTGCAGGCACTAGGATTTCTACAGTAGTATTTTTCACAATAACAGATTTCTTGCCACTGCAGAAATAATTCAAATTGACACTCAGACAATTATTGGATAGGATTTTGTATTCTTTTTAAGATCAAATTCCATTCATACTTGAGAGCTTTACAACATTTTATTTTGGTGAAAAATTGGAATAGCCAGTCTACATAGGATTTAAAATCAACTTGGTAGTTTTCATTTGGCATAAAAAAATAATGCCCAAAACCTAAACTGGTAATAGTAGCATCGTTTGCTGGCATCTCAAAAACCTTGACCTAAAAGTGAGTGTGAATGAGTTCCCTTTTTCCAATGAGCATGATAAACCCAGAGATGAAATCCAAGCTATCACCATTATCTCAACTATTCTCAAATCCTCGCCACTGAGCATTCTCCTTTTTAAATTCAATGGCTAATAATATTCATATATAGCCACTTGCTTGGACTACACAAATATGATATTTGAAACACTTAAGTTCTATTCTATGTGTAAACCATTCTCTCCTTTTAATTCATTGCTATGAATGAAAAAAAATGTAGGGTTGGAAGAATTTAAAAAGAAAATAGAAATAAAAAGAGAGCAGAGAGAAAAGGGGGGAAACAGACAGCTTTCATGATCTGTTCAACACAATACTGACCTCTCAAGTTCAGCTCTTCTACCATCTGCACTGGCTTTCTTGTGTCCCACAGTCTGCAATTAAACCAGCCTCAACAATGAGCGTCCTTGAACTGACGAAGGTATTCTTGACAAATTGAAATAGGGAATTAAAACTGCAAAAGAAGGGTGCAAAGATAAAGAAATACTTTTCACCTGTTGTGGCTGCAAGATTTGTGAAGCAGGACCACCAAGCTGATCAGAGATCCCAAGATGATCCATTCCTCTTGCTAAGACACTCTCTTGATCAGAATCAAGAGATACATTAAACGATCTATGTGAACCAGAAGAGGAAGTGTCACTCACTCCTCTACGAGGGCTTCTTCCTCCAACTTCATTGAGAACTTCACGGGGCAAAAGATAATCCATTGATCTCTCAACTTCTAAATTCCCTCCAAAGACTTTCACACCTTGCTCATAATCTGGAATTGTAATTGAATGCCCCCTTCCTATAGTCTGCTGTTAAACCATCCATGAGTTATGCATATTGAACTACAGAATTGCTATTAAACAAATGAATACAATAATGTCTGCAAGAGAAATTGCATTTGACCTGTTGTGGCTGAAGTTTTAATGAATGAGTACCAAATGTACTGTCAGAAAGTCCCTGACCCATTCCGTGTGTTGCAAAAGTTTGTTGGTCAGTATTAAGAGATAGGCTTGCTTGTTGGTGCACTCCAGGTGGGTTGGTCTCCCTTACTCTTCCATAGGGGTTCCTCACTCTCACCTCATTAAGCACATCAAGGGGCAAAAGGTTATCCCTCAGCTTACCAGTTACATGAACTAGAGCATCCTGGACACTCTTATATTCCCCAGTTATCTGAAGAAGCAAACAAACAAAATTGAAACCTTCTTCAGGATGCATCAAATATTAGGCAGTCCCAAGACTTCTAACCTACTACAGTAAAAAGCATTCTCAAACATTAAAGGACAGATTAATATGGAAAAGAAAAGGGAAAAGGATGCCCATAGAACTAAGAAAAGGCCCTAAATTTAAAGATCAAGTGAAGTTTATATGAATGATGCCATTTGAGAAGTTCATCAATTATGTCAGTCACAAAATTAAAAAACCATATCAACAGTATCCGTGCTTTGTTGCATATCTACCTCAGCTGAAGTTAAAAAAGATGAAAATGTTTAAGATCCCACGTCACATAACTACAATAACAGTAAGACTAACAAAATTAGCATTCACACCTGTACTACTACATTCTTTGGAGCATGATCAAAGACCAACTCCTCCTGCAATATTCGTACATCAGCACCAGCCACTCCTATCATTTCAGAGAGTACCTGGCCTCCATTTCCACTCAAGCAACTCACTACATCAGAAGCAACCAGAAGCCTTGCAGTTACAGAAGTACCCTTACTCAAGCCAGATGGAAGTCCCCTTTCAATATCAGCCTCAACAGATCTTGCAAAGACAAGGATGACAGCATTTTGTGCAGGAAAGTAAGAGTACCATGTCTCGAGGTTCTACAAAAGAAAAAGCCAACACAGATCAACAAAAGAAAGTCCACGCATGCATAATTTTGACAACACACACACAATACGTAAGGGAGATATCCAGATACAAGAAACAATGAGAACTGTACTTCCAGCATCAACAGTACAGCATCAACAAACATTCAGCATAACTAACCTCAAATGCAGATATGGTGACCACACGCTCACCAGACTCAATTGCTGGAGCTGCAAACATTATAGCAGCACCTGATTGGTTCTGTAGAGCTCTGACTATAGCTCCCTTCTTACCGATAATGGCTCCAGCAGCCCCGTTGGAACAGAGTAGTCTAAACACAACTTTTTGTGTACCATTCTTGTCCAAGGTGAGATCTCCATCAACATCCTTGGATGGCAAGCGGGCATTTGAAGCAGTGCTTGCAGAATTTATAGACATAGATGGCAACAGTGAACTAAGGTGAGGAAACAATTCCGCATGCAGATCACGGAAGGCCTCATAGGAAGCATTCTCAGCGGGTGCCGGAGGCCTACTTGGGGGTACTGGATCTCTATCCATCGGTGGACAATCTTGAAGACAGCTAGAAACAGCAACAAGGGCTTTCTTGACAGCCAAAGTGCGACCTGTAATCTGCCAGAAAACAAGAATTCATAACTGAGGAATGGGGATATTGAAGAAAATGATATACTTCTGAATTCAGATATTAGTAGTTTACAAATGCATTGCTAAAACCAGTCTCCTTACCAAATCTAGTCATATATACATAACTGACGTCCTAAATCCAACCCAAAGTTTAGTCGTTTACTAACATCAATCAATATCCGCTATTGTATCTTATGATATCAATACAACAAAAAGAGGCTTCTATCATTACAACCTCCATAAGACAAGAAAGGAAAGAAGTTAGAATTGATTTCAAATTAAGAGAAAAGGTAGCGGAAAACACTCACCTGGATCAACTCATCCTCCTTTGTCGCACAAGATGGAGCAGTCAGGATTCTGATGTTGGCTCCACTCGCTTGCCTCATTCTCGTGATGCTCTTCCCTCCTTTCCCGACCACGGCGCCAATCTGGGTCGTATTGACAAGCAAACCACAGTATGCCTCCTCCTCAACGCCACCATACACGGCACCACCACCGTCTCTCTCCGCCTCCACCTGCCAAAGTCTCTCAAAAACCCTAATCATCGCCTCCTGAGCACACGACACGTCACACTCCTCGCTCTCGCTCAATCGGATCCTTTTCTCAACCGATCCAGACCCGATTATGAGTATCACCTTGTGGTCCGAGCCACGAACACCATCCACGCAGTGGATTCGGGATGACGTCTCCCGACGGAGCTGCGCCACCACGGAACCGGAACTCCCGATCACGCCACCTACAGCCGACGCGTGGCAGACTATACGGAATGCCACCTGACCTGGCCGTAGATTCGAGATCGACGGCTGAGGCCGTTGACGACCTCCGCGGCGGTTGTGCTTGAAAGCGTTATTGTAAGAGACTTGCATTGAGCGATGGCAACGGTGACGTGCTCCTGCTGCTTCTCTTTCTTTGTCTCCCTCCTTTGCGTGGGAATATTTTCTGACGGACTCTATTTGTTTGTTCTGAGCGATGTTTGCGGCTGAGTTTGGGCTGTGCAGAAGATGACGGAGGAAAATGGCGCTACTGCTGCAGTGGAGTTGAACCGTGCGCGGCTGCTGAATGGTGGCATGCGGTCTACGGGTTTGGACTTAGTTGAAAGAATCTGAGGCAGAAACTGCACATTAGCCCCCTTACTCACACGTTTGTTGTGTGTTAGTCTCTTAACATCTGTGAATAATAAATCCCTATATTTTTAAATTCGGGCAGATCAGCCCTTGTTTGAAAGCTGGCGTCAATGATTTGAAGAAGATTATGTCCAAACTCCAAACTCAACTGAGCCACCAATTGAGAGGAGATAAAGTTAACACGGCTCCTAAAACTCGCACATGAATCCAACAACCTTAAAGGTTCAATTATAATTTTTTTTTTTAAGATATAAAAGATTTTGAATTCAAAATATAAATATAAAGTTAAAAGAAGTAAAAATATTATAGAACATAAAACAAATTAAAATAAAAAACTCTCACATGAATTGAATAACATGCACGTAAGTTGCATTCTTAATAATTCATTGTTGAAGTAACATGCACTCTCACCATGAGTTGTGATTGATTATAAAAATAATAATTTGATACATATTTCTTAGTGG